GAAAATAAACCATTGAATAGAAAATCATCATCATTATTATCTTCCATTTTAGTTTTTAGAATGGAAATTTATTTCTCAATGTTCATTTTTATTTTTATTTCAATAATGAAGAAATCTATAAAAAAAAGGATATCGCTAGACATTTAATTATCTCTTAGTCTTATTAATGACTTAATAGATCTGCGTAGGTTACTAATTGAGTTAGTCAATCGAGATATTGCAAAGGTTGAATATCAAATGAAATCATGTCGATAAAATTTCTTAAACAATTATAAAGTACTCAGTTGCATTGATATCGTTTCATAAATTGAGATTATTTATTCTTGTATATTATCATAGAATTTCAATGTCTACTGAAGTAAACTTATTTCAAACAAATGTATTGATTCTAAATTCTCGTTTTAGAAACGGATTTCTTTATCTTGAAATAAAAGAAAAACGTTCTAATGATAAGTTGCTTTTTCAAAATGATAAATATATGCATTAAAAGTTAATAATAATGAGACAGAATTAAACAAACAGTTCTTTTTTTCTTTATTCTAACAAATCGACTCATTGAAATCCAAAGACCAAGAGATTCTTTTTCAATTTCAGTCGCTTTTGTAAGACGATATAACTGTCCTATAAATTCCGATAAATGGACTGCACCGGATAATGGATTTTCACTAAACAAGAAATAAAGATTACTTTAAATTAAATTCGGTTTCATTTTTAAATTTCATACCGATAAATGTGGTACATAGGACGCTGCACAAATATTAAATGGATTATATTCACCATAATTTAATGGATGTTCATCAGTTGGATTTTTTTCACAGACACTTAATACTTTTAGTGTCTAAACAAAATAATAAAAAAAGACGAGTTTATATTGTCTTTTGTTCGTCTTCTAAAGTAATTGAACCAAAATGATGTTTCATTTAACAAAGAATAAACTCAATTGTTTTCAAATAAATCAAAATGAAAACATGAAAAATTTCTATCAACAGATTTGAAATATCTTGAAAGCATTAAAGATATGTTTTCTTTCTTGTTTTTTTGGTTTATTTTAAAACCTTTCAAAGTTGAATTCAAGAAAGAATGAGAATATTTGGTTTCAAAAATGAAAGATTAATACTAAAGCCAAAAACCTATTGAGCAACATCAGATGCTGGTTCCAATTCCAATAAACGTTTGGTAAAGTTGTTGCAGTTTTATAATTTGTTAACTTAAATGCTTGATTAAGTGAAGATTTTAATGTCATGATTTTATATATTGGTTGTAATTGTAAATGAGTAAAATAAGCAGCTAATTCACATGAACGTTTTTCATCATTTTTTGCTAAATATTTTTTTTGCCATTGACATTTGTAAACCAACAATACATTCTTTACATATTTCAATTGATTGTTGATTTTGAAATTTTCCATTATTTTTTAAACGATAAGCGATTTGACGACGTCGAGCTAATTCTTCTAATTTTAGTCCAACTGCTGGATAAAATAGTTTTGGTGAATGGGCTTCACGTCTTAATAATTAAAATAAACAAATAAATACAAACCAATTTCTTAATGAAATATGCATCTAATGATGGTAATGATGGAAGTGCTGTAAAAGCTGTACGTGAACGTAAAAATATTTGAATAAAAACATACAAGATCAGGTGATAATTCAATTCCAGTATCACCTCAACCATCGTCCTGTTCATCTTGATTATTATTAAGA